AAACATGAGCCATTATGGAACAAGACTTTGTCAACATACGTCCTTAGTACCTAGCCTCCATATTCACAATTTTCTTTCAGTTTAAGGAGAGATACAAAGATGAATTGGTATAGAAAACATATATGAAGCCAAACATTCCAGAGGCAGTGCACACTCTGAACATACTTGTATCTATTTCTCTCTCTCCTTTTAAAAGTGAGACAGAATCTCACCATGCATACATAGGCTAGCCTGCAACTCCCTAGGTAGTCTGGGGTGGCTTTGAACTTGTGCTTCTGCCTAAGCCTCCCCAGCAATGGATGAGAGAGGTGCGTTCCACCACACCCAGAATCAAATGCTCATTATGTAAGGGACCAGAGACCCCTTAAAGAAGAGGTTGGTTCCAGGGTTGAGGCAAAGAAACAATCCAGAGACAGTTATCATGACAGAAAGTAAGAAAACTCTTAACAGTTAAACATGTGTGGATGCAGACACCATTTGGGAGGCTTGCTCCCAGCAGTACCCATACTCTCAAACCCGGAACCTGTGAATGTTACCTTATGCAATAAAAGGAGCTCTGCAGTTAAGGTTAGGGATCAGCAGATAGATAGGGAGAGTATTACACAAGCAGGCCAACTTAGTTACTTTTCTATGGATATGAAGAGACACCATGACCAAGACAACTTATAAAAGAAAGCATTTAATTTGGGGGCTTCACAGTTTCAGAGGGTGAGTGAAGACCACCATGAGGATGAGGAACATGGTAGCAGGCAGCAAGGAATGGTGCTGGAGCAGTACAGCAGCAACTAAGAGCTTACTTCTTACATGTAAGTTGGAGGTGTGTGTGTGTGTGTGTGTGTGTGTGTGTGTGTCAGAGAGATAGAGAGAGAGAGGCAGACAGACAGACAGACAGACTAGGCCTGCTGTGGACTTCTGATACCTCAAAGCCCACCTCCAGAGACATACCTCCTCAAACAAGGCCAGACTTTCAAAACAGTCACACCAACTGGGGGCCAAGCATTCAAAGATATGACCTATGGGGACCATTGTCATTGAAACCACCTCACAGGCACTGCTGTAAAGGCCAGGGTCATCAGTAAGGCCAGAAGAAAGAAGCAGCATACTACTCAAGATTACTGGCCAAAGATAGCTTCTAGAATCCAGAAGACAAGGAAATGCAACATGTATACATTTGGATTTAAAGCCACAAGCTTGGGGTAGGTGTGGGGGCTGGGGGATTGGGGCAAGTCATTCTCTCTTTGTGCCAAGGTAGATAAATAGTCTTCCAAACCCCTACTGCTCTGTGATTGGATGACAAATGTTTGATGGGCTTGGTGAAATACAACTTCCAACATCTCAGATTCAAGACATATGTATCTGGATAAAACCTTCAATGCAATCCCTAGTCACTGAAAGAGACAAGCCCTATGAAGACAATATCCCTGATGTTTAGCCCACAATAAGTACTCAGTAAATCTGTCTGAGGGTTCTGATGCTGGGTGGGGTGGGCCAAAGGAAGGGCTCATTCTTTGTTGATCCATCAGTGTCTCTTCTTGCATTTATGGAACCTGTTAGAAACTAGTAGCCAGCTGACCCCCCCCCCCCAACGATGGGCGGGATGCTCATGCCATGTCTTCGCTACATCAGCCTTACCTGGCAGCTCAAGCTTTTCCTGGCTGCCAGAGGACTCAGTTACACATGCATGTGCAAGTCCCCCTTTTAAAGCGTGCGGTTCTCTCTGGTCTCTCTCTTGCTCTCTCTCTTGCTCCCCCTCTTGCTCTCCCTTTCTGGCCTCTCTCTCTCTGCCCCCCCTCTTGCTCTCTCTCTCTCTCTCTCTCCTGCTTTCAGTTGGCCACAAGCTACCTCTCTCTCTCTCCCCTCTCTCAATAAAATCCACGTGGGCACTGAGTCTCCTGTTTGTGTTTCTTAGGCATTAGCCTAAGAGACTATCAGTGAGCAAGAGAAGAGAACATGGGGAATCTTGTCCACCCACCCAGAATATGGTACACACACCACTAGCCCTGTGTCCTAGTTTGTTTTTTGTTGCTTTGATAGACACTATGACCAAAAGCAAATTTGGGTGCGTGTGGGGGAGGGGGTGGGGGAGGGGTAGCCAGGGGGGGCTCAGCTCACAGGTTACAAGTCAGTCCATCAAGGGAAGCCAAGGCAGGAGCTCAATGCAAAGAACATGAAGTAGTAACCACGAAGAGAATGCTGCTTACTGGTTTGCTTTTCAAGGCTGACTCAGCTACCTTTATTATACAGCCAAGCCCACCCCGGATCAGGCAATGTCCATAGGAGTATGGGTCTTCCAACATATTTAGCAATCAAGAAAATGCCTCACAGATATGCCCACAGGCCAGTCTGAGGGAGGCAAGTCTTGATTTGAGATTTCCTCTTCCCAGCTATATCTAGGTTTATCACATTGATAGAAACTAACCAGCAGAATCAGGGCAGAGTGCATACTAGGGTGGCAGGTATCTTTGGGCAACCTGGACTTGCCTGTGCTTGAGTTGGTTCTGAAAGGAGAGTTAAAACTACCGAGCGACTGTCCCCCCAGCGATCAAAGGGGTCTACCCTAACTTCCAAAGACCTGCAGGTCCCCAGAGCTCCTATCTAAGGGTCCCTGCCCCTCAGGCTCTGTCTTTTGCTGCCTGCCAGGTTTCATAGCTTTGTGCTAATGCTCCTGCTCAGTGCTTCCTCTGTGCATATATGGTTCTCCTATCTGCGTGTCCCTTCCCCTAGGGCGCGCGTTCCTGGCCCCTTCGTGAGTGCGCCCTCTCCCCTGGTGCATGCCTTCCCATTCCATTTTCCTCTGCCTCACTGCCTCAGTCCGGGTGGAACCCTAACTCTACCCACGAGCTTGCACTCGTTGCCAGGCAACGGTACGCGACTCACTGGTAGGTGGCAGGAACGCGCGTCAGTCGCACGCACCAAGGAGGCTGGAGCGGTTTCCTTAGAACTGATCCCCTAGTGTCTCTGCAGAAGCAATACTCAAAATTACACCTTGCGAGTTTCGTGGGTCTCACCCCGGAGGCTGAGGGAGTCTTAGTTCTCTGGAAGGAGCCTGTGGGCCTGGGTGACTCCTCCTCCTCCTCCTTCCTCTCTTCCGGCTCCTCCTCCTTCTCTTTCTCCTCCCCCTTCCCCGCCCTCTATCCATACAACAGGAAAACTAAGGTAAGTGTCAAGGTTGGTGGCCGCCTGATTGAATTTTATTTTCAGGTAAACTGGTTACTTTGTAGCACAAATATAGCATATGACAATTATTCGTCGTTTCTCTGAAATTCAGATTGAACTGGGCCTGCTGTAGTTTTAAGTACCAAATCCAGAGGTGTTGCCCAGGTCCCCTCTCTCCCCAGGCCCTGGCAGAGGACCTCCTTTAGTGTCTCAGAGCAGCTACTTCAGGCTGGAGGGAGCTGTTTCTGTGAGAAGGGACTTTCTTCTTAGGAGCTGGGTTCATACTGGTATTTGTTGGGAAGTAACATTTCTCAGAGTAGAAGCAATGGCTATTTCCTCACATGGCCGGGAAACACAGAGAAGACCCAGGGACCTCATACAAGCCCCACAGAGAATGCTAAGCACCTGCCAGAAGCCCCAGATAGACCCTAGCCCACTCCTCAATTAGAGTTTTCCCCTTGATGACCATTGTCCCTTTCCCAAGTTCTATGTTTTCTGGAGCAGTAGGGGTATCTTCCGTGTTTTCTGTAACCCAATTTCAAATGGCATTGAGAGGTCCATGTGATGATTTTATCTCTGGAGGATTTCCCACTGAAGAAGCACAATGGAGAGCACAGTCCAGTCAGTTGCCATAATACTTTTCTCCATGTGGTTAGGACACCCATGGCAACTTGGTAGGAGATCAGCTCATCAGTTCTTAGGGCTACACTTCTGCATACATACATACATTCCTTTGGTGGCAGAAGCAATTTCTGCACCATGCTTCCCCTCCTGCATTGTGAATCCCTGGGGAACCAGTCCTTATTTTAGAAAGCATTTCTGTTCCCTTATATTGTCACAAGATTCCACCGTATTGTACTTAATTGACCCTACGCTTGGACATTCAGATGGTATTCCTATCTGACTGTGGTAATAATGGTGCAAACGCTGTGTTCACATGTTGTCTCACAGTCCTGAGACTGAACCTTTGCGATGGGGTCAAGAACTGCAATGGTGAACATATTGTGATATTTCTGAATGTTACCTCAACTATGTCAGTTGGGCTCTCCCAACACTATTGCAGGCCAGGTCGGTGTTTACAAGAAGCAAAAGTGCCTTGGTCCAGAGGCAGTTCTTGACACAGTGGCTCCCTGTCTCTTCTGGCTGCTAGAATTCTCTCTTTTGTCTTGTGAATTTCACTGTTTCTTTAGCAAACTTGAGCTTAGCTCAAATATCAACTTTTCACAGAAGATTTTTTTGGCTTCCCTGGCTTATCAGAGCCCCTGTTGTCTGCTCTTAAGAGAACACATTTCAGTTTTAACTTTGTATTGACTGATTTGTCATTGATATTCTTCTCCTCTACTCATCTCCATGCCATATGATGTCAGAGGTCATCTGTAGGTCCAAATGCAGATGTTTTGAAGGTAACCGACAGACACATCACATATGTTTAATGAAGCAATATTAGTAGCCTTCCCGCTAGAACATATATTCTCACCATAGCTTCTGTGGGCAACCCCAATAAACACACTGGGTCACAATTCTGAGCTTGAATAGAATCATTTGTTCAGTCTCTTGTCCATCTGGGGTAAATAGAAATAGTCAACCTAGAAAAAGCCATGCAGCAGTGTTCATATCTTAATACACTGGGAAACAGCTTGGAGTGAGCACAGACTTGTTCATGAAGAGACAGTGGTGTTATCCTGTGACCAAAATAATCCTTGGGAACCTAGAGGGGGTCTGTCTTCTGGAAGAAAGACAGTTACAGATGCATGGTATGCCCATAAGCATCTTTCTCTCTTTCTCTCTCCTCTCTCTCTTTCTCTCTCTTCCCCATCTCAGGCAGCATGACGAGGGCTGTATGAACTACTTGAAGCAGGAGGAACCCCCTTGTCCTGGTTGAAAAAACTCTTGAGCGCTATAGCTGGTGTGTACCTTGAAGGTGAGGAGCTATGGTCCAGCAATAGAGGGAGGATCATGGATTTGGAAACTTCAGGGTGTGGTATGTAGAATGTCAGGATATTTGGTGGAGTAAGAGGATGTATAATGACAGGCAGGTGCTTGGGGTGAGCCTAAAATTTATGGCTAGACTATGAGTAACCTCATGTTGTTTATTGGAATCTGAATTTGTATTGTTTGGCTTTGACAATATATGGTTTTTCAGAAGAGATGGACTATTTGTGATGCTTTATTGAAGTGCTTAGCAGAAAAGCATCTTAGAGTCAATAGCCTTAAGGCTCTAAGGTCCTACATTCCCCTGCCAGCCAAGTGCTCTGGGCTGTTCACTGAAGCTCTTTGAGTTTGGCTTCCTATCTGCCTGGTGCCTGAGATGTTGTGGGCATTCACTGGCACAGGCATTACTTGCCACAATGTGGTGAATAATGCTAGTGTTCAGTTCTGACTTTGGGGCTAAAAAAGAACTGTCAGGATGTAGAAGCTATTTTTACTATGACTTCTGCAGAGACCCTTTGTAGACCATTTGGAGTTTCCTGGGACTAGCTTGCTTATGTTATAAGAAATACCCATGACTAGTGACAAAGTGGAATGTTAGGTAGCTGAGTTTACATTCTTTTTGTTTGTTTGTTTGTTATGTGGGACAGGGTTTTTCTGGGTACTCTATGGAGACCTGAAACTCTCTCTGTAGATCTTAAATTCAGAGATATGCCTTCTTCTGCTTGCCTCCAGAGTCTAGGGAGTGCCATCACTGCTTAGCTTGACTTTACTCTTAACTGTGCCTACTCAGAACACTTTTGGCTCTAATGAAAAACTTTTGTAGGTGGTTTTATTTAGGAGTCAAAAATGGAGTCAACATATCTTCAAAAGTGCCTGGGGACATGCCTAACTCAAGGTCTCGCTGAAGTGGCAAGAGTTCGCCCATTGGATCCAATAGAATATTTAGCCTTGTGGATTTATAAGTACAAGGAAAATGTGAACATGGAGCAATTGGTAAATATGGATCTTCTTTCAGGAAATTTGAAGAGCATGATAATTGGTTCATCCTGTCTTTATTTTTATGTTTTTATGTTCAATATTATTTTTCCATTACAATAATGTTTATTATATGAAAACTTTGGATAGTATGTGAATGCAGAGAGTGGAAAAAACCAGAAAGAAAGCTTCTGTTTTGATTTTAAGTATTTTCAACTCAGTAGTTTCTTTTTCTGACATGTTTGTCTATAGATTGGTTTCCTTTTTCAACGTTTTTTTTTTTCTTTATACTCAATGTATAATCTTAATTGTGCATTTTTTGTTTGGCTAAATTATAAAAATCTCCCAAATTGTTGTATAGTTTCCAAATGAATATGGCATGGTGTTCTTAGCCCTTCTTCTATTGCTGGTGTTTGAGATGCCTCTGAGATTGTGTTGACAAATTGGTCTCTAATATGTTGTATGCTGTTGTTTTTACCAATGGCTAGAGACAGAAAGAGATGATTGAATTGGAGCATGAGAGAGAGTTAGCACTGATGGAGCAGGAAATGCTGGAGCGACTGAAAGCCGAGGAACTCTTATTTCAGCAGGTAAGACAAGCACACCCTTGGTGTACTACAACCACAGCCGGAAATACTCCCAGGCTCTGGTCATTTAGACATCATTCCCTAGTATCCCCATCCATTTTTGGTGAAGAGACAGTATCATGAGGTAACAGGACAATCTAGAGAGTAGCCAACCACACCACTGCTGAGCTGGTTGGTGCTCATTTACAGCCCAGACAGTCTCTCCAGGAACAGTGGTGAGGGTGGGGTGTTGCAGGTAAGAAGGGGATGGTGAGTGAGCATTATACTTTAACGGGGCTGGTGAAGGGAAGGACAATGGGTTTTGTTTTGATTTAGAAAGACATTGAACACAATGAATGACATTAGAAAAATAGAAAAAAAAGATCTAGATTCTTTTATCCACAGTAATAAGAGGCAATGGTCCTGGAAAACAAGTGAATGAACCCCTCTTTTATTGTAGCTCAGAGATAAAGCATAGATGGCCTAGGTATAGGTGGATGCATTGGCTTGTGACACAAAGTTAAAAGCTGACCTGGTGTGACAGTTTCTATCTTCTTTATGAAGTAAGAATCAACCAGGACCATACACTTAAGAATCAAGTGATGAGGTAGGAGGACTAGAAAGAATGATGAGGGTCTGAAATAATACCTTAGGAGGATAGAAAGATGGGTTGTACATCACTGACCTAAAACAAAAACAAAAATATTTCCAAATATGAAACTTTTTGTGTGCTTACATGGTGTCAAGGAGTAGAAAATTTCACATTGTTAAACTTTGTTTTACATAAAAAGTATTAAAATATGGTGTGTGATTACTTTATGGTAGAAGATAAAATATAACTGAATTGTCTTGGGTGTTATACCTGAGGCATCTTATTACAGTCCTAAGCATTTCTGAAACAAGATGGTATGATGTAGTATTTGGAGACCAAGCATTCATCATAGTGCTGTCCACTTGGACCTGTCCTTCTCTACTGAAGAGAAGCAGGAAGTCTCAGCTGTTATTCTTTCCAGAGATGATGAATTCACTATGGGAATATACTTCACAATCTTTGATATGTCTACTTCATCCTACTGGAATAAAATTTTAGATGTACTAGAAATTAAACATTTTCCTAGTTGTGTTAGACAGCAAAGCTAATCTGCAGTGTGTTGAACCCAAAACATTTCATTTGCAGGGGGTGTGGAATGCAGGATAACCTTTTACAAGAGATAACTGGATTGGTGGGCATAAGTAGATGGGAGAACAGAAAAGGGCTTAACAGGGAGTAGGTTGAGATGAGAAGTAGCAGATCATTCTTTTTCTCTTGCTCCCTGAAGTGTTTGAGTTGGAGGCTGAGGATTTGGCTTCTTCCTTGAGCCTCAGCACTGAAAGTTTTAATGGGTAACTCCTGGACACCTTTGCAGCATCCTCTCCTAAACAAAAGCCAGACTAAAAACAGGGCAAGTGGTACACACTTATAATCCCTGCTCTCGGAAGGGAGAGGGTGGAGAATCTTAAATTCTGGGCTAGCCTGGGTTACATAGTGAAACTGTCAAAAATAAAATGGAGCAAGCAAACAAAAATCAACAAAAGCTGAGAGAAACTGCTTAAAAGCATTTGACTTGTTTTTAGTTGACAGCTGATATTGTTTCTAATGTCAACAAATTGATCAGTGACTGAAAACAATCAAACAAAAAGAAAAAAAAAAAAAGGAAGGCCATGACTGTTCCTAGGTATAGTGGAGGAGAAAGTTTATAGGGAGAGTATAGCCAGAGGCAGGTACATCAGTCAGAGTCTAGAGTGAACGTGACCCTGAGCTGGTGCACATGAAGACAGGGAGAGCTGGGAGAGTAAAGCGTAAACAAAAAGTGTGGTAACCAATGTGTCTGGGTAATATAGGCAAGGGCAGCTGGGGGAAGGGCCCCCAGCCCCTGGGCTGGAAAAGTTTAGAATAGGGGGTGGGGTATGTCAGCCATATCCTGTAACAGTTAGAGACTGAGGGATGCTGGGATAATGTGGTGGCCAGGTCCACTTTGATATGTTAGCCATTGTCCCAGGTTTGAGACCTAATATCCCATTTTTTTTCCTAATAGTCCAAGAATCTAAACAAATTAATTTTGCAGGGTGACACATTTCTTTGAGCATGTAAATCAACACTATTTAAATTATCTCACACTGGCAAGTCTTATTCCTTGCTTTTACGTAGTTGCTTAATTTTTTTTTGTAAGCTTCTTTTAGTTTTTATGAAGAAATTCTGAAGTGTTAAGAGGAATCAATCTTAAATTTTCTATTTTGAACATTTGCTTTCTTTTTCAAAACAAAATATGTGTATATGGTTTACACAGGGGTGTGAGCAGAACATGTGCACGGATGACCCATGGGTTCTCTTCTGCTTTTACTATGTTATGGGGATTGAACTAAGGCATACTGACAGTGCTTTTACCCACTTAGCTATCTGATGACCTTGACCTTTGTTTTCATATGCGTTAAGACTATTGTGATACCTACATCATCTGTGAATGCTGTTTGTTGCATTCTTTTTAGTTCAGTGTCATCATATTAAACAAAACAAAATTATATTTTGCTATTAAGGTAAGAAACAATCCATGCCCCATTGTGTCTTCAAAGCGTGTCATTCAACATCCATGTCTTATTTTATTATTGTTTCTTTGAGACACGGTCTCATTATATTTGTTCAAATCAGCCTCCAATTTTAGATTCTCCTGTCTTAATTATTAAAAGCTGGGACAGCTAGTGTGTTATGGGCAGTTCCCCTGCCAGCCTGGTCCCACAGCCCTGTCAGCCACAAGTAACACACAGAAACACTGTATTAGATATAAAGCTGTTGGCCAGTTACTAGTGTTTCTTATTGACTAGCTCTGTCTTAAATATTAACCCATTACTATCAATCTAAGTATTTCTATGCGGTCTTATCTTACCAGAGAGAGGGTATAGATCTCTTTTCTTAAGTCCCTACATCTTGACTCTCCATACTACAGTGTGGGTCACTGCATCCAGCTCCTTTGTTGTCATGATGATATCAGTTTTCTAAATGCCACAGCACAGTGATATCATGTGCAGTGTTATTTGATTTGTAGTGCCACAATGGTACCACATGTGACCTTTGTAATGACTGCTTTGCTCTTTTGTTGCCAGTGAAAAGCAGACATAGACAATTCACAATTGAATGAGCTTAGCTGCATTGCAACAAAGCTTTATTTACAGATCCTGGAACTTGGATGTTCTATAACTTTCCTATGTCATTATTCTTTTGATTTAATTTTTCCTCAACCATTGCAGAATGTACATTAAATTCTTGGCTTCTGATCTGTACCCAGACAGGAGCTGCATCACATTTGGTCCACAGGCTTTATTGCTGACATCTGTTCCAGTGTGACATGCATGCTGCATTAGGATCAATAACACTGTTAATCAGCCATGTTTACAGATAGACACTGTCATGGTCATCATGTTCTCACTTTTTGCATACAAGATTTGGTTCTCTCCTAGCCAAACTTATAAAGACCTTATTTCAGAAAAGTTCACATTAGTCTTATTTGTAGTTTTAAGAACAAAAGAGTCATAACTTGACTTTGTATACACTATTTCCTATCTTTGGCAATGAAAGAAATGTCTTGTTTGTTTTTGTTTTGTTTTTCCAGACAGGTTTCTCTGTATGGCTTTGGAGCCTGTCCTGAAACTAGCTCCATAGACTAGGCTGGCCTTGAGCTCACAAAGATCTGCCTGCCTCTGCCTTTAGTGCTGGGACTAAAGGCATATGCCACCAACATCCAGCTGAAATTCTCTTTTTTTTTTATGCTTAAAGAAATGAATCATTGTAGAAGTTGAGTATTATTTGAATATAATCATTTTTCTAATTTACTGAAATTTAGCTGGGGACTTAAAAGTGACACATAAGCAGGTGTGGTAGTTCCAGTAATGTCAGCACAGGAGAGGTACAGGCAAGAGGACTGTTAGGAGTTAGAATCCAGTCTGGGCTACATAGGTAAGACCTGTCTAAAACAAACAGACAAACAAAGAAACAACACACAACAGGGTGGTGGAGTTGATGCCTAACTATTGCTTTTTTATGACTGCTGTGATTTAAATATTTGTAACTGTTCAGCAGCAGCTGGCATTCCAGCTGGAGTTGGAAATGCAAGAAAAAGAGAAACAGAAGACAGAAGAACTCCAGAAAGCTCAAGAACAGTTAAACAAGGTAATTTGAAATGTTGTTAAGTGTCCATTCCTTGGAAGCTTCTAGACTCTTCAGGCTGTTCATTCCAGCCATGCCAGCAAAAAGACTATACGATGCAGAACCCAGACACCTGCTCCCTCTCAGCTGTGGGACTTCAAGACTCAGCCCTTGTGTCTGCTCTCCCGTTTTACAATAGTGTAGCATCTCAGCACCATAGGCATCAAGCAAGGAGTCCCGTGTGTGCCTTTGTAAGCCACAAAGGCCTCTAGAGGGACACTGTCAATGGTTTTGTCAGGAAGCAGCTGTTTTTAATTATGTTGGCTAATTTAAGGTATCTGATGGATGAGATAGCAGCCTGTCACTTTTCTTCATGTTAGATATACCAAGAAAATCATTTACATTTTAAAAACTTGTTCTTACATTGATTTTCATGTCTCTTATGAAAATAAATGGTGCAGTGGCTAAGTTTTAAAAAGTTCCATTTTCATTGGCAATACATAGAGTCAAATCTGTGGTTTATCCAATAACTTCTGATATGCTGAAAACGTGTGCATATAGATGCAACTTTTCAATGACTATATTTATGGCTACTGTCTTCCCCACCCAATGCAGCACCCTTTATTGAACCTATAACTAAAACTAAAATCAGAAGCAAATATATTTAATGTGTTTATTAATGGATTAGATGAGAAAAAATCATTTGAAATATTTCCTTTTTCTTTTTCCTGAGACAAGGTTTCTCTGCGTACCTGTGTCTGTCCAGGAACTCATTCTCTAGACCAGGCTGGCCTAGAACTCAGAGGTCAACCTACCTCTGCCTCCTGAGTGCTAGGATTAAAGATATTTCTTTAAAAACATATGGGATGGTGAATTGAATAAAAAAGTGAGATATCGAAGGGCAAATTCAATTATATGTGCACAGTTTTAATATCCAGATACTGAACGTTAGTTTGTGCAAAAGGAGCATTTGTTGGTTATGTGCATAAACTCACACACTTATTAACACAACAGAAGGTCACACCAATGTCTCCAGATAGCAAGCCTGTGTATAGTGCAGTCACACAGTATAAACTATTATTCTCAGGTATAGTTAAGGAATCCTGAGTTGAATAGGGGTGGACTCTGGGATGTTGGCCTCAGACCCTTGGGAGCAAGAGTCAAGAGCTATCAGGAATGTCTTCCCTGATGCTGTCGGATACTCATTTCAGTTCCCCCTCCCACTACTGGTGCTTTTGCTTGTCACATGTTGTAGCTCCCACCTTTGCAGAGGAACAGATTTATTTTCTGGTTTTAGTTAAAAGAACTAGGGGAAAGATTAGTGTGAAATGTTCATCCTTATGGTTTAGGGTGGTGGTCCTGGGGCTATGGTGTGGATTTAGGATAAGAACTTCCTAGAAAAGCTGATATAGTGGTCACACTTTTGACTCCAGAAATCTCAAGGCAGAGACAGGGGAATCTCTGTGAGTTCAAGCCCAGCTTGGTTCTTACAGCCAGCTTTAGGACAGCCAGGACTGCATATAGAAATCCTGTCTCAAAAAGCAAAACATAAATAAAAGAACTTCCTAGAAAAAAATGAAGTCATCTTTGTGAAATAGTACCATATACTATGTTTTATCCCTATAATTAGTGTGGCCATATGGACAGTCACAAGATGAGTAATCTTCCAACTGCCAAAATGCTTCATCCCAGTATGAGTCATGTGACTTTTTTTGCACTGTCATACTGATGAAAAGATGGAGGTCATAGAAGGTTGGCTTGTTTAGAAGAACACCTTCTCATTCAGGAGTAGCTTTCCATGCTGGGTTGAGCATTTTTCCTACAGCATATGAGTGTTGCTAAGGTCCTCTGGAGAACATTTGGGCATTGAACAGTAACTTGGACATGGTTAATTCACTTAGAAATATGCACTCATTTCTTCCTGTATATAAAGCCCAACCTCAAGATCTCTTAAAAAATCTCTTAATCTAAGACATTAATGTTGCTTTTCATAGTTGCTAGAACTTTTGCTTCAATTTTAACATCTCATTCAGTCCATTTTTTTAAAATCCCTAATATTTTATTAAGTCTTAGACAATTTTATAACTTTTCCTTTATTTTTGAGATCATAATTGTATCATTTCTCTATTTCCTTTCCTCCCACTAAACCCTTCCACATTCTTCTTCTTGCTCTCTTTCAAATTCATAGCATCTTTTTTCATTAATTTTTGTTACACACACACACGCATATATATATATATATATACATATATGTATACATATATACATATGTATACATATGTATATATGTATACATATATGTATATATATATATATATGAACATGTATGCATATTCCTAAATATAACCTGTTCTGTCTGTATAATGCTCCTTTTCTGTATGTTTTTAGGGCTGACCATTTGGCGTCAGACAACCCATTAGTGTGCTTTCCCCTGGGGGTTGATTTCTCCCACTCTCAGCATTCCTTAGTTGAGGTCTCATGGGCTTTCCCCTGTCCACTTTGACATGTCTGTTATTGTCCTTGTCCAGCACATGTTTATGCAGTCATGGTTACAGTTATAGCTATAACATAGCTTCTGCTGTTACAGCCCCTCTGACCCCCTGGATCTTCCAATCTTTCCACCGTCTTCCATGTCCCCTGAGCCTTAGGTGAAGAAGTTATTTTGTAGATGTACATACACTGGAACTAGACCCCATAACTCTACATTTTAATTGTGTTTGAATGTGGTCTTATTTTAATTTGATGTGGTTTTCTGTAATGGTCTCTGTTGTTGCAAAGAGAAGTTTCTTTAATGTGGGGTGAAGGCTGCATCTATCTATGGCTAGGACAAACGGTTAGAGTGTTGTTAGGGATTATGCTGGCTTAGTAGAGTGGTTCTAAGTTTTCCCTCAGGATCCAGGAATTCCCTTGCCCTGAGTAGTTAGCTAGGTTTCCAGTATCAAGTAGGATGCCACTCTTGTTAAACCACTAAGGTATGTGTGCTGCTACTGCATCCTTAGGGTTATTGTGCCATGTTGGTCTTGTGGTTCATAGACATTACAACTGGCTAGGACTGTTTGTTGGTTGCTTCTTTCTTTTGGAAGCTCTCATGGCACCTTCTGGTTATCAGGAAAGCTTGTCCCCAGGGAAAAAGGCACCCAGGTCAGTTTCAGCTCAGGGCTCTGTATCTGAAATGCATGATGCCTTCAGCAATTGAGATTTACCCTTCACTTCTGGCCAGCTCATTTTTGAAAGAATTTTATTTAATTATAAACCATTATTTCTTATTAGTGTATAGTAATAAATGAAACTGTGATCCTTTTTTTTTTTTTTTCTTTTTTTCCTTTGGTGCGTGTGTGCTCTGCCTGTATTCTGATTACTCCTTGGAAAGTGACATGGCTTTTGCTATTAAACTTATCATAGCACTTTATAAAAATATTAAAAAAATTTTTTTTTTTTTGGTTTTTCGAGACAGGGTTTCTCTGTGGCTTTGGAAGCTGTCCTGGAACTAGCTCTTGTAGACCAGGCTGTCCTCGAACTCACAGAGATCGAGATCCGCCTGCCTCTGCCTCCCAAGTGCTGGGACTAAAGGCTTGTGCCACAACCACCCAGCAAAAAATAAAAATTCTTAAAATCTAAACATGGAATAGAAAAAACAATATTCAGTGTTGTCTTAATTTTTTTTCTAGGAGATGAGCGCGGACAACATGGTTAGGGGTGAGGAGACCATACAGTCAGAGGTGAGAAGAAATAGCTACCATGTGTTACATGAACTGAGTACATATCTTAGAGTAGAAACCTTAGTTTTAAATATCCATGGCTAAAGTTTTAATAAGAACATTGTCAAAAGTGGTGATACGGCTTGGGCGTGGTGGTGCACACATGTGATCACAGTGCCTGAGGCTGGAGAGTGGTGATTCTTGGCTTAAGTAAAGCTACATAGTGAGATCCTGTTTTAACAAACAAAAGCAAAGCCAAAGGCCCTATAAAAGTGATAGTTAAAACTGTTATCCTAATGATAAGTCAGTTGTTTGGTGCTTTGAAATAAACCTCAAAGTGGATAAAATTTGGAATGCAACATGTACTTGTATATTTTGAAGACACAATGTCATGTTATGTTGCACATAGAATTACTTACAAATGCATTTTGAAATTCCAAATGCATTTAAAGATAATTTTTAGTTCTTCTTACTAGAATTCTGTTATCATTAATAGCCATTGATGAATTCTACTAATTAACAATGTTGAGTTTGGGTGCTTAATTCAGAAATTTTATATCAAATTGCAAGAAAAAGGACAGCTTCATTTTGAAGGCATGCAAAAGTAAAACCTGACTTTATGACTGTAGGAATCAGCAACAGACTCAGGCAAAACCCTAGCTGAAATCAGTGATCGCTATGGGGCACCTAACTTGAGCAGAGTGGAAGAGCTTGATGAACCAATGTTATCTGATGTGAGTATCAAAGTATGTCATCCCAGAAGTTTTCATGTTGATAAAGTGTAGAATATATGAGGTGCACTGACAAGTGATACTTTTTCTTCATGCAAAGAACACCAAGTGTGTAGGTGCTAACCAATTTCTTAACAATCTTAGCTTTATGTTACGTGTATGAATATTTTGACTGCATGTATGTCAATGTGCCATATATGTGTAGAGCCAGTGGATGCTGGAAGAGGGTGCCTGATCCCTCAGGACTGGAGTTATAGAAGTTTGTGAAGATGCCATATAGATGCTAGGATTCGAGCTCAGATTCACTAGGAGAAAAGCCAGTGCTCTTGACGGCTGAGCCACTTGATCAGACCCACTAACCAAATTCTTAACTGGTGCTCTGCCTGTGAGTGAGGCATCACTGGTATAGCCCTGTCTGTCTTCATATAGCTTCATATCTGTCCATGCTTCTATTTCTATTCATCTGTATCCATGTATTTTACAGTTAGATTTTGAAAACATCAAAACCTCTTAAAAGTAGATGTGTAAAATAATTTTGTGAAATAAACAGTCCTTAAATTTGATAGAGAATGAACCTTTTTGGTTCTCTGGAGCAAGCCCTGGAAACACATAAACAGTTTTATGGAAACACATAAACAGTTTTATGTAAACGAAGGGCTTTATAGTATGTAAATATGTGTTTATTTAACAAGCAAATTGTGATGTCTGTGTGTAAGGCATTGTGCCAGAGGCAGTGGGCAACAAGGGAGTTTTCACCTCATGGAGTTTGTTGTCTAAAGGAGAAACATAATCAGAGCAGGGTTTGGTGCTTATCATTTGAAGGACCAGGAAATTTATTGCCCATACCATGTAGTTTATGACTGAATGAAGAGTCTATGAATAACTGACTCAGGTCAACAGGGGGACCGCCCTGCCAGGAAGGTAATGCGTGGCTCATCTTGGTCAATAGCTTGATATACCTGGAAATGAGTTGGAATTGCTTTTCTCAGATTAGCCAGTGAGCACGCCTGAGGGGGCATTTTCTTGATTGCTACTTGATGTAGAAGGGCACAGTCTACTGTGGGCTTGGGCTGAATGAGAAATAAGGGAAGTGAGGGAATGAGCCAGTAAGTAGTGGTCTGGCCCAGTCTAGTCTTGCATGACTTCTGCTTCAGTTCTTGCTCCAACTTCCCTCAGTGATGAGCCGTGATCTTTAGCTGTAAGCCAAACACCCCTCCCTCCAAGTTGCTTTGGCCATGGTGTTGACCACAGCAACAGAGATAAAGCAAACTAGAATTGTCACATCTTGTTACTTCATTCTGTGGGCACCAAGAGGGTGGGATATGACCAGGATGAAGGAACCTTGGTGAGGAAAGAATTCCAGGCAGAAATCATAGGAGAGAGAAAATAGTGATGCATAGGGCAATGAGGATTTGAGGTCAGGAGAGAGCAGGGGCTAGACCCTGAAAGGACTCAGAATTCCTGCTCTGGGTCTCAGACATTTTCTTGCAAATAGTGGAGACCTATGTCGTAGAGCTGCACTTTAGAAATAGCATCTGGCTACAGTGGGAGAGGAGAATGGGGAAGTAGGTGTGAGTAAATCAACTAGGTTTTGGTAGTAATCCAGAAAGAGTACAGATACTAACTGAGCTAAGGGAGGGAGCAAGGTGTTGAGGAGAGTGTGCAGAGTGAGAAGACCTGCAGGTGGAGGTACGGGTGGCGTGGGGGTGGGGTGGGGACATGGAATTGCACTATTTAATGGTGGCTCTTGGAAGTAGAAGGAAAGAATAATTTAGGTGTTTACAAGAACTATTCATAAAGCTGGGCTAGAATACCTGGTGTAAGAAAGCAGGGAGCCACAACCAATAAACAGTTCCATTCCTTTGGGCCCATGGGCCATTGTGAAGGGCCTATAAGTGACCGAGAAAGGAGATTTGGAGCTAGAGAAGGCAAGAAGTTGCCAACAGCCCAGTGTTCCAGCTGGGCTTCACAGAGCTTGCAGAGTGGTGAGACTTAAAGGCAGGGAGCTGGAAAAGCCAGATCACATGTGCATGTCGCTTAGGTAGATGGGACTTAGGAACAGAAGGGTTAAGTAAGGGTTTTTATTGGGTGGAGAGTTAGAGCAGTACAAGTATTTAAAAGGCAGACCACATGGGGTCGTTACAGTTATCTGCATGCAAGATAACTGGGGCTAGAAAGTATAGATGTGATCACAATGGACTTGAATTTGGCTCAAGAGAGGGGAAAAGGGGGCTAAGAATCATTCCTAGCCTTTTGCCTTGAGCACAGCTGTGAATGTTATCCTTGAATGAGTTGGTGAACATAAGAAAAGGAAGAAGGGTTTTTGAACAAGGAGGCTTTAGTCATGAAGATGTTGAATTTCAGGAGACTGAGACATGCACATGACCAAACCCCACTTTATATATGGTATAGGTTTGGTAGGGACAAGAGGGCCATGCAGAAGATTCAAATTCAGCAGCCAAGGGTATGTGTGTTAACTGAGCTAGGGGAGGGAGCATGGTGTTGAGTGGATGCAGTGTGTGAAGGCCTAATACCTGTCCGTGAAGGAAACACTAGGAATTCCCATAAGAGGTGCCTGGACTAGAGAGATGACCACACCCTTAAAGGCTAAGGCTTACAAGCAATAGGACAAGGGTTCTGTTCCTAATGGATGTGGCTCTGGAAAGGGTGTACCTCTTAGGATGGATGAGAAAGACAACAAGGATAAGACTTTATTTGGGAACGTTATTTATAATTTTATACTACTTGGGTACTCCTCTAAAATTATCCGAAACTCAAAAAACGTCCTTTACTGGATCACATTAATGTTACTTAAGCTCTATTTTCTTTTCTTTGTACTAAAGTTTATTTACTTTGTGTTTTCTTTTAGGTTGCATTAAACATTGATCAAGATTTGTAGGGCCAACCAACTGTGAAGAATTATTTTCTACCTGTTTCAAACTTCAAATCACAAGGACCCTAATATGTATTTTCCCCCTCCAAACTTGAACTCTACTCCCCTCTCCCACTCACTAACTTTATAAATGGGATTCAAAGGTATCCTTAAATACAGTTTAGATTTCTCAGTACATCTGGGCACTTGTGTGGTCTATTGTGGAGGTAGGACAGAATTTACTGAAGCAACAAAAAGAGGCAAGGGATGAGCCAAAAGAATGTATATCTCTACAATGAACAAGATGGCTTGGAAGGAAAGTTCTAGAAAAGAAACTACTGCTATACAAAGGATGGAGGACTCAAGTGTTCAACAAATCTCAGACATTGCCTCTCCTTTAGGAATGAACTGGAAAGCATTTTCCAGGTTGCTGGAAGGGTGAAGCCCCATAGGAACACTTAATCAAACATCCACAATGTAGCCAGATTCGAAGGGAACTCAAGAATAGATTTGGGCTTCCCCTTTCTTTACTCTCTATGAAGTTGGATATCCAGGTCCTGTTTTCCCTTCAGGGTTTGTGATAGTAGGGTTGTTGAAATGAATATTTACACTGAGGCAGTAGAGTGGGAAAGTTTTGGAGGGACTGCAACATACTTGGTGTCTCTCCTTATTCCTTCCCTCAACTTCGTCTTTCCTCCTCCTCCCTACCATATCCTCCCATTTCCATACCCCCAATCCTACCCTACCCTTAAAAATCTATTCTATTTCCCCCTCCCAGGGAGATCCATGTGTCCCTCCTAGACCCTTCCTCTGGGTTGGTTATCATTTACTGTAGCTTGGTTCTCATTTTAACAGCTAATATCCACATGTAAGTGAGCATATACTATATTTATCTTTCTGGGTCTGAGCTATCCCATTCAGGATGATTTTTTTTCTAATTCTACCAATTTGTTTACAAATTTCATGCTGTCATTTTTAAAAAATAGCTGAATAATACTCCATTGTATAAATGTAACACATTTTCTTTATTTATTCTTCTGTGGAGGGGCATCTGGGTTGTTTCCAATTTCTGGCTATTCTGAATAGAGCATCAGTGCACATGGCTGAGCAAGTGTCCACTGGTAGTTGAAATATCCCTTGGGTTTATGTCCAAGAGTGTTATATATAACTGGATCTTGAGATAGACCGATTCCCATCATTCTGAGCAACTGTCATACTGATGCCATGGTGACTGTCCAAGTGTTCCCTTTAGTCTACCTCCTTGACAGTATCAGCTGCCACTTGTGTTATTTATCTTAGCCATTCTGACAGGTTTAAGTAATTTTGTTTTACATTTTCCTGATAGCTAAGGATGTTGAACATTTCTTTGTTTCTCGGTCATTTGTATTTCCTCTGTTGACAATTCTGTTTAGATCTGTACCCCAGTTTTAAATTAAATTATTTTTTTTGATATTTGGTTTTTTAAGGATTATATATGCACACACACATCCTTATATCTATATATCTATATCTATCTATACACACACACACATACACACATATATGTAATATTACTCTTCTGTCAAATGTGTAGTTGGTAACAATCCTTGCCCATTCTGTAGGCTGCCTCTTTTTCTAAATGATGTTTTTTTTTTTTTTTTTTTTTTTTTTGCCTTACAGAAACCTTACAATTTCATTTCTTGTTGACCTCAGTGCCTGTGCTAATGGTGTTCTTTTCAGAAAGTCTTCTTTTGTACTAATGAATGACACACTTCTTACAAGGAACACCTACCTACTCCAAAAAGACCATATCTCCTAATCTTCTAATCTTTCTGAAGTAGTGCAGCCCTGATGACTAAACACCAAACACACACACACACACACACACACACACACACACACACACACACACACACACCATAGGCATATCTTATTCAACCACTACAGGGGTACTTTATTTCTCTACAATGCTTTTTCTTGCATATTTCATATTAGTTTGTTTGATATTACAGATACTCAATCTTCTCTGATTTCCTTTTTTGTAAATGTCTTATTCTTTATTTTTGGCGTGTTTTTATTTTTTGATTTTTATAACTGAACCAAAGTTTCTCCTCCCTCCTCTTCTCCCAGTCCCTCCCTTTCCACCACCTCCCCCTCCCCACCCCAATGCACTCTTCTTCCTGTTTCCCTTCAGATATGGGCTGGTCTCCCATGGATACCAGCTGGTCATAGTATGTCAAGTTGCAGTGAGATTAGACACCTCCTTCTCTATTAGGGCTGGATGAGCTAATCCTATAGGAGGAACATGTCCTAAAAGCAGGCAACAGATTCAGAAACAGTCCCTGCTCTTACTGTTAGGAGTCTCACAAGAATACCAAGTTACACAGTTGTAACACATATGCAGAGGGCCTAGGTCGGTCTCATTCAGACTCCCTGGTTGTAGGTCCCGTCTTGGTGAGCAATTATGAACCTGAGTTAGTTGATTCTATGGGTTTTCTTGTGATGTCCTTGGCCTCACTGGCCCCTATAATCCTTCCTCTCCGTCTTCCACAGGATTCAGGATTCCCCAAGCTTCACCCAATGTTTGGCTATGGGTCTCTGAATCTGTTTTCATCAGTTGCTGGGTGAAGCCTCTCTGACAACAGTTGGGCTAGGCACCAATGTATTAGTGTATCAATCAGAATATCATTAGGAATCATTTCTTTGACTTTTTTTTTTTTTTTTTTGCCAGTTTTGTTTGATTCTATACTCCATCTCTGGGGTATCCCGCCCCTTGGCCCTGTCCCTCAGAGGTGTGTTCCCACTCAATGTATGGGGCTCCAGTCATTAGTTGGTTACTAACATATTCCTGCACCATCTTTACCCCAGCATATCTTGTAGATGGGACAAATTCTAGGTCAAAGGGTTTGTGGTTGTGTTGCTGTCCCAGTCCCTTCACTGGAAGTCTTACCTGGTTACAGGGGATGGCTGGTTCAGATTTGTATTTTGATTGCTAGGAGTCTTAGCTAGGGGCACCCTCATAGATTACTGGGAGTTTCTATTGCTGTGGGTTTCTAGGTTATCCCAGAGATGACCCCAGATTCCAGCTGTCTCTCCCAGTACTCTTTCCTTCCATCCTTCCCCACCTAATCTCTCTGGTTACTATCCACACACTCCACTTCCAGCCCACTCCTACCATCTACTGACAGTGTCCATTCTATTTTCTCTTCACAGTGGGATTCATGTATCCCCCAGCCCTTGAACTCTCCTTATTACTTAACTTCTCTGGGTCAGTGGATTGTAACCTGGTGATCCTTTACTTTAGGGCTAATACCTGCCCTATTATGAGCAAGTAAGTACATACCATGTTTGTCTTTCTAGATCTAGGTTACCTCATTCAGGATGATCTTTTCCTGATATAGTTGTTTTTATATCAAATTTCCTGATATAATTGTTTTGAACAACTGAATAATATCCCATTGTGCAAATGATCCACATTTTCTTTATCCTTTCTTCAGTTTAAGGGCATCTAAGTTGTTGCCAGTTTCTGGCTATTACCCATAAAGCTTCTATGAACATAGTTGAGCAAGTGTCCTTGAGAGTTTGAGGCCAGCCTTGTCTACAATTTGAGTCCCAGAATAGCCAAAGCTACACAAAGAAACCTTGCCTTGATGACCACACACACACACACACACACACACACACACACACACACACACACACACACAGAGAGAGAGAGAGAGAGAGAGAGAGAGAGATAAGAAATGTTGGTCTTTATTTTTTTAAATAGAATTTTGTATTGGTTCTTTGAGAATTTCATATCATGCACCCCAATCCCATTCATTTCCCAGTTCCTCTTTATGTGCCCTTCACTTGTATTGCCCCCCTCATGGGGGGCAATTAAACCCATTTTATACCTCCATCTTTCCCACCTCTCTATTGCCTCTTCATTCATGTCAGTGTCTTTGGAAGCTTCTGCCTATCATGCAGTATGCCCTTTTGTCCAAAGAGCTTTACTTGCAAGTGCTCATTGTGTAATGTGTTGTTGGTCAATTTCAAGGCCTCTGGCTTCTGGTACACCATCAATACTGGACCTTCACCGAAACTCCTCTTGGATATCCTGTTGTTGTCCCAAGTCATGGAAATCCTGTGGCAATGGTTCTGCAGTCACAGTTGGGGTAGATGTTGAGGTGTGCCAACTCAATGCCCTGGACGTGTATCTAGGTGGCAGCTGAGTTGGTCAGTCTGGGCTGCTGAAACTACTCTGTTTCAGGTGAGGGCGGAGCCAGCTTTCCCACACTAGGTGAGGGGTGGGGCCAGATTTTCCAAGTGTGAATGGTTGTGGGGGGCAGCTTTCCTGTAAGGAGTGGGGCCAGCTCTCCTGTGCTGGGGTCATTGGGGTTCTCTGTCCTAGGGCTAGTTGGGATGAGAACAGCTCGGCACTGCCCTTGTTCTACATATGGTTCAACACATTATTTGCATGGGCACCTGTGCCAACATGGCCAATGGACATCCATACAGATCTCAGTTGCAGCAGAACAAGGGACCCAGAGATGGCCGGCAGCTACAGCATGGGCCCAGATGTCACCTGGGCCCATGGGTAGCAGCGGCACAAACCTCTCAGATGGGCATGGGCCCAGCAGTAGTGTGTTCTCAGCCTCCAACATGGCCCTAGGTGGCAGCCCACACCCCAGACAGTCACACAACTTTTAATGGTAACAGGAGCTACAGATATCAACATAGACTCTGGCTGAAGTAGGGCCACAGATGCAGACATGGCCTTTGGCTGCAGCTCAGGCTGGGGCATCTCCATGGCCCTGGTGGCAGTGCAGACAACTCAGATTGGGATGGCACCTGTGGTGGCATGACCCTTGGACACATGGGTCAGCCAGACCCCCAAGCATCCTCATGGCCTTCAGTGGTAATGGGAGCCACAGAAATCAACTGTGGCTTTGGCAGGGCCATGTACCCAGACATAGCCCTTGGCTGAAGCCTAGGACCAGATGTCACAATGGCCCCAGGTGGCAAGCAGGCCACCAAATCATCCTGTTCCTCACCAGTTCTCATCTTCAATCTGCCTCTCTCCACAGGATGTGAACCATTCTGTCCCCTACTTCCTCTCTCTCCCATACACCGCCAAGGTGCAGGGCACTTCCATCCTCCTAAGGCAGTCGGCCCCAGGGGGGAGTGTGGCAGCTGTCCTTCTCCTGCTTGGTCCTCATGTTGTGGTGTTTTACC